AAATTTAAGTAATTTATTGACCATTCCTTCATCTATGTCATTGATGTAAATCAAAAAGAGCAAAAGTCTATGACTGAGCCCTGAGGCATCCCACTTGTATCATTAATCCAGTTTGACTGAACCCCATTTGTAACAACCCTCTGCTTTCTTCCATCCAGCCACTCTTCTATACAATTTACTAACTTATCCCCCACACCTATACAGACAATGCATTGGTTACTTATGTATTATATAGTTGGTTAATTCTGTGCAGTTAGTTTTAATAGTACACACACAGAGTTTGGGAAGTGTAAGCTCCAGCTACCACCACAACATTTAAAGAAGTGTAGAAGATTTTATCTGACTTCAAAAGGAACCGAGAAATAAAATAGTATGTAACAAACACACTTACTGTAGAGGTATTTCACCACTACACACCACCGTTCGCCGTTTTTCCTCGTCTCCTATCGAAAAACTCTGCAGGTAAGAAAACTCTTCTTCTACAATCTTGTGTGTCAAATAACGAAATCTTTTTGGTAATGGAGGAAATACCAGGACACTAAAGAAAGATAAAAATAAGTACGTTTACCAGACAAACAGACACGAAAAGTACTCGTACGTTATCAGTAATCATGTGAACAAATAACAGGACACTAAAGAAAGATAAAAATAAGTACGTTTACCAGACAAACAGACACGAAAAGTACTCGTACGTTATCAGTAATTATGTGAACAAATACCAGGACACTAAAGAAAGATAAAAATAAGTACGTTTACCAGACAAACAGACATGAAAAGTACTCGTACGTTATCAGTAATTATGTGAACAAATAACGGATACACTTGTCATTCCGTGACACAAAAATAGTGTTCTTTAATGTGCTGGAATATCATACCCAGTTGTAATATACTTATTTTTCCTCTGATATACTGTTTTACTTTCATCCTTATATCTGTTAATATAAGAATTTCAAGTAAGTGGGAGTCCCTGTAATAAACAACACTTAGCAACAAAAACTATAAATTCACCCTCCTTAAAAATGTTTTTAGAAATATAAATACATGCTATAATTTAATAGAAACCACAAAAAAATTGATTCTTATATAATACAGGTATTACAGTGATATTCCTCATAGGCAACGAATATTATGCTATTACAAGAAAAATATTAACCATAGAGGACAATACCTTGCGTTACCAGATTTCCAGAGTGAAATACAGGGACATTTTTTACCAAATGGAGCGACACTGTAACAGCTCTGAAACAGTTTAGGTTACAGTAACACACTCTTTAACATTAGCTAAATAATCTGATGTTTATCGCATCTTAAAATCACTGACAAACAAAATTTGTTAAAAAATTATCTAGTTAATAAAAAAATGATAAAGAAAATTAAAAAATGGGGCCTAAGTTGTTTTGAACTTACTCAAAAGAAAAATTTTGCTTTTTTTGTTTTCATATTCCAATTCCCATGGCTGCCAAGTAACTGATTTGGTTTTAAAAAAACGTTAAAGATTGGAAGGAACAATATATCAAATGACCTGTCTTTGTCAAGTGAATCTCCAAGTAAAATATAATGGGGCTTTATATAATGAAAAACTGTACATATCAAAGAACAGAAAAAAATGTGGCTAAAAACTCGGACAACTGGTAACCCTGGTCATACATATACTGGAAGCTCAACCTGTTGATTATAATGTAAGTAAAGAAAACAAAGCAAAGTTACAGAAGATAATGTAGTGATTGCAAGTAAAAACAAGACAACAAAAGTATATTCACCACTTTAACCTATTGAGGTGTTTCACGAAAACACAATAAGATTAGGAGGTGAAAAAAATAAATAAATATACAATATAAACAAATCTCTATATGTTACACTACTGTAATACTTATCTCAAAATTTGGGGATTGTCTTGAAACTGGTAGATGATAAAAATGTATAATTAAAACTTAACTTTAAATTTAATACTAACAAGCAGGTGCAGGGCCTCAAATAATTTTGGGCTAGTTTTCCTTAGACTTATTTTTAATTGTTAATGTTATGGTAACAGTAACAACACAAGTTTCCAGTTACATATTTTACTTGTTTAAGTTGTTAATATACCTGTTTCGTCTGGAGTCAACAAAAGTCAAGACTGTATACTGGCAATTGTCATTTGGAGATCCACTTCTTTTATGTTTCTTGGTTGTCTTACAATCTGGAAGTTGAACGCGTTTATATTCTTCGTTAGGCTTAGCTTCGCCAGTGAAGAATTCAATGTCTTCAACAACATATTCCACAAACGCACGATCTTCGTGGTTAGACAGATATTTCCCGCACAAATATACAGCCAGTGTAGCTTTTATAATAAACAACGACCTGTATACAAACTAGAAATAATGATTAAATAAATTGGTTTCAAACAAGAACTTTTGTTAATTATAAAACTCAACAAGAGGATAACTTATCAATGTCCGCTGTTTACTACTAGTACTAGTAGTTAATATTACGCTAACTTGTGGATACACCTAGTTTCTCCAGGGGGGTATGTTCTTATATTTGTTACTGCTAGTGCTACTGCTACGGTTAGTTACAAAGGTTACAAGTTAAATGAAGAATCTTGGACACTAATAATTGCATATATTGTCCTGATTTCAAAAAAAAATATTTTATTTGTAAGCTTATTCATTATAAGTACAACCTAAGCTAGAAAAGTGTCACAATGTGTTTTGTTTCTTTTTAATGAAAATATCACTCATTAACATTATGCACAAGTGATAGGAGTAGGGCTACTTTTTAGACAGAAACAAATCTTTGACTCACTCATTTTATTAATTTTTATGGGCAATACTATCAAATTATCTATTCCCAACAGAACAATAAGCATAACTATTAATGTCCAAGAGTTTCTAGGAATTTTAGTTCATTTAAAAATTACACTGCCAAACAAGGCCAGAGTTACGACCTCGCTATCTTACTTTCGCTCGACATGGAACTCTGGGAATTGGAACCACTCTAAATTCCCATCAGACGCTTTAACTAAACCTACTACTATATATATATATATATATATATATATATATATTCCTTAATATAAATGTTACTAAAACAACCTAACCTTTGGGGAAAAAAAATCTAGGTAAGTAAACAGTCGAATTATTAATAACACGTAGATGTACTTTAATCTTATTAAACATAATACCTCGACAAATTAAATATTGAGTACGCTGACCAATGAAAAAGATTTTCAAATGTTGTTGGTGATGTTTTTTTTTCTTTAGCGCAAATCTACTTAATGGGCTGTCTGCGCCTTATCCACCGTGAGGAATCGAGCCTCAGATTTTAGCATTTCAACTTTGGAAATTTACTATCGAAACATCGGGGACGATTATTAAATAGTTTATAACTGTTAAGGACAGCCCTTGAAAATCTAATTTATTTCTCTTCAGTATCAGCAACAGTAAAAACAAACAAACAAAAAAACAGTCGCCTTACATTTCATACAGATACTGATAACCTTTTTGAAATATGTATTTTAATTGAAACTGTGAGTATAAATAAAATTAAGGCTATGTTCGGAAAGTAAGCTGGACACTATAGTGGAATAATGCTAAATGCTTTTCTTCAACAGCTTTTTCTCGGTTTAGCGAAAATGAAAATTTACGAAGAATTGTGTAATCTACCAGATTGCACATACCAATCCAAAGCTGTACTTATTCATCATCATACACGTAACTGTTTCATTTTTTGAAAAATGTATACATGTTATTTATACTAACTCTGTATTTATTTTAAATATTAATATATTCGAAAGTATATAAGATTATGTTTTATTTTTGATAACCAGAAATAGTAACGATGCTTTGATCAAATCAGACCCGAATGCGTAAAATAGTATTACAACATTACACATAATCGTTGTGTCATTGTTATTTAGTTTCTGACAATTTATCTTTGCACTTGGACATTTAGTTAGGCACGATCTACATGTTTTATAAGCACTGAACCAGGCAGGGATAGATGTGCTTATATAATACGTCAGCACGGGAATGAGAAATGACAAAAAAATTAAAATAACTAAATAAAGGACACATTTTCTACCGGTGAGTCTTGGCGCCTTTTGGAAAACAGCGATCTCAACTTTTCCAAAGTCAGACCAGATAATCTCTTCTAAAAGCGCCAAAACTGCATGGTGTCAAGCTTAGCACCTGTAATAGTTTAATATTTTTTTCATGAGAATAGTTGGCTGAGGGATTGTCCTAATGAGCTCTAATCACATATTTATAATAGCTATATTTAGCGAAAATTGTAGAAATTATGAATTGTAACCATGTTAAAATTAAGTTCTCCCTTGAACGTCAACAATACTCTGTTCTACCCTTTCCTGACACTACTATGTTTAACAAATAAGGACATTTTGACGTTGGCTGTTAACAGAACTCACCTACACTGGACTCTCTTTTGTTTTGTTCCATGTCATTTCAAAGAAAATCTTATTAAACGTCTTGCGTTCTGTGCACGCAGAATCACCAGTTCTTGTGAATTTTTACAGCAAATACAAGTCTAAAGAGGTTATAATTTCATTGTATAGGTCACTGGTTAGACCATATTTGGAATACTGTGTTCAGTATGGGCTCCTTATCTTAGGAAAGACATTGAATTGTTGGAAATGGTTACTAGAATGGTGCCTGGGATGGAGGGATTGTCATATGATGAGAGGTTGAGATCTCTCAAATTGTTTTCTCTTTAAAAAAAAAAAGAATAATTAGGGGGGGGGTCTGATTGAGGTGTTTAAGTTTGTAAAGGGAATTAATAGTGTTGATTCATCACATCTTTTTCTTACTTAACAGTGAAAATAGTAGGACTAGGAGACACAAATATAAATTTTGGCAGGGTAGGAGTCATCTTCAGCTAAGACTGTTTTAATTTTCTAACAGGGTGGTTGACCTTTGGAATGGATTTAATTCAGATGTTGTGGAAGCAGTAAATTTAAGTGAGTTTAAGAAAAAACTTGATATATATATAGATGATAAGGGTTAGCTTTAAGATTTTTAAAAAATATATTTATTAATAGTTTTAGTTCAGCTTAGAAGATGGGACAGCCGAGATGGACCAATAGGTTCCATGTTGTTCCAAATCGCTATATTATGTTAAAAGACTAAAATCCGTTTTAAAACTGACCTCTTTGCAGAATAACTTTATGGATTCTACCGTCTATTCAGGCTACTGACATCCATAAGCTAAAGGTTCACACACTCACGAGTCTTGAATAAGTTAAGATACCATAATCACAAGAGTTTACCTTCCATGTGTGTTTAGATCTTTACTGAAAAATCAATTTTTTTTTTACGTTGAAATATCGAATCCAGTTTTCTCAACAGTCACGTGTCACTTAGGAATTCTGCGGCCCAATGTGTGGCGACACATATCTCGGCTCGAATACCAGTAGACAAGATTTATCTCGAATTTCGTTCAAAGCTACACGAGTGTTATCGGCCGTAATATTAATAGTAATAGACTAGAGGGAAAACATCTAGTCAACACTTGAGCTAATCTTTTAATAGTAGGATTGACCATCACATTATAACGCGAACATGTTCAGTGTGATGTGGATTCGAACCCGCGACTCTCAGATTACGAGTCGAGTACCTTAACCAACAGCCCACAGAGCTTCAGAGATAACTTTAAAAGAAACTTGATTCCTAGGTTCAAGGACAGGTCAAGCACTGTTCGCCATGTACCAGGTGAATGTTATGTAGTCCCCCCCCCCCAAAATATTTAAAGCAATAATTAAAGATAGAAACGAAGCTAAGGAGACGTTTCTGATTCTTCAAATGAAACGGAGGTAAAAATCAATACTTACAATTTATAGATTTTAATTGCATATACAAATCACATTTTCTTTGAGGCTGACCTTACCGAAAACAGGCACTGAAAATCTGTACTCCATATGACAGTCACAAGGTCCAGAAGAACATAATGCAAATACCCCACGCAACAGTAGATATATTCTTTGACCAGTCAAACTACTTAGTAATACTTCAAGCTTTAATTTCCCACGTGACTTTAACCAGATTTGGAGAGAATCTATAAAAATTGAAGTATTTTGTAGATAAGAGATATATATATACTCTGGGAGATTGCTGTAATTACAATGTGACTGCGTAGTGCCCATTCGGATAACATTTTTCACGACTACAAATAATTAGTAAATACAAAACCATTAAAAACAAGTATTTTGACGGATTATTCTTTCTTTATCACGCAAGAAACTTCGAGAAGGAGAAGAGCTGGCCACTGTGTCTTCTTGAGTAGACATGTTTCTCCTCATTAGCTGATTAGTAAATATTATAAAGACTGCTCTAACATTTCAAATTTTAGATCCAGTAACTTGTATATGTTTGAATATAAAATATTGTGTACAAATTTTGTGACGTTTTGTTTTTAATACGTCAATGTTTCTTTAAATCCAATTATTTAGATAATTCAACAAAAACATAATGAGAATCAGAGGCTTTGGTGGCCACCGAAAATAATTCGGGGCGTGAACTCCAAGAAGCAGCTACTACTCGAAATAATTAAAATACAGTAAACAGTCTTAAAACAGACACTCTACAGCCTACATCCTCTTCCTAAGACCATTGACCGTCTTAACACAGGCATTTTACATCATCCTTCCGAGACAGTTGACGGTCTCAGAATAAAGCTTTTAAATTGTGTACTTAAGAACGTTGATCATTTGAGTGTTGTAATTAATTATCTACACAAGTACCACGAGTTTGAGCTTTTTTAATTGTTAATTAAACACAACTGCAATGTAATATATTTCACAGTGGCCTAGCCCTCTTTCTTATGCTGTTGGGCACCAGTTATAGAGAAAATGAGATGTTGATTGTTTCGGTACAAAAAAAAAAAAAAATACAAAACTTAGTGATTTTTGTGGTAAATAAAGAACAATTTTTGTTGAAAAACAAAACAAAAAACTTTGAATAAAATTACACCATTCTCTACTCTAAAGATCAACTTCTCCTGTTTTATTGTTAATGCAATATTTGCAACATAAAAACTGATTAACATAAACTTGATTTACCAAATTAATTTCTACTTTTTTTACTATTACGTTAACTAAATTAGATAACAACTGTTATCATTTGACTTAATGGTTGTTATTGTTAGTTTGCTATAAATACTTAAGGTGGCGCTCGACTCGCGGGTTCGAATCCCCCGTCACACCAAACATGCTCGCCCCTTTTAGCCATGGGGACGTTATAATGTGACGGTCAATCCCACTATTCGTTGGTAAAAGAGTAGCCCAAGAGTTGGCGGTGGGTGGTGATGACTAGCTGCCTTCCCTCTTGTCTTACACTGCTAAATTAGGGATGGCTAGGGCAGATAGCCCTCGTGTAGCCTTGCGCGAAATTAAAAAAAAAAAACAAACAAATATTTAAGGATCACAGTAACTTCTGTGGCGCTAGTTAATAATTTCAAATTAACGTTTTAAACAGATCTTGAAATCTTTAAAATTCGAATATACTTTTTACCATATTAACATAACTTTTTCAAACTTTTTTAGGGGTAGGGGACCTATTAAGCATAATAATACAGAATTGTCTAATTATTAATTCAGCAACTAACCAGGAGCGCAAAGTACTTAAATCAATGAAAATTTTAATCGTTAAACATTGTTAAGCTGCATAATGGCTTGTCAGGACTGTGCCAACAGCAGGGATCAAAACTCGAATTTTAGTTATAAACTCGGATTTTTCTTCAGTCCTCCCAAAGAAAGATGCATTTTTTTTGTGTAAAGGTGTATCGTGTTGGAATACACAACATTTCCAAAAATCCTCTCAAAGGAACAGTATTTCCCTAAGCCTAACTCCTAAAATTTTCAACCGTTTTAAGTAGCATAAAAAAAGGCTTTCTAATGCTTTTCCTTTCCAGATTAATTAGACTCGCTATATAAATTATATTCAGGCTTAAAGTCTAAATAATGTTGGTGTTGTATACACTCTCCCGGTAAGACGATCAAGTTCTCATTATACCAATAACGATGCTCTATCGATAACCTCACAAATTACAATACTGAAATCACAGCAGAAAGAGTTTCAGCGTGCAGTAGGAACCCGTATATAATGCTTACTTAATCCTAAAAAAAAAAGTCATTAGTGGGTTAATAGACTTATATTTATAGAACTTTTCGTCTCTAATAGCGAGACATGATCACGTACAACATTTAATGGAAATATTGAAATTATACAGTAACTTGCGGATTTAATTACTTGTCAAATGTTCTTTTCAAATGAAAATACACACACAGTAAGATGCTGATAAAATTTATTTATTTTTACACCTATTAGTACATATCAAGAAAATATATTTCGATTTCATATTTACATTTTTGATTTGTACTTTTACTAATAACAGCTAGAAGATTTAACTCTTGAGTAATACCCTAACAACAGACTAATAATTTGCAGATAGGTGACAGTACTGATTCAAAGTGTTATTTGTACATATTCCATAATGTCTTACAAAGGTACTTTCTTTAAATAAACAATAATAAACCGATATCACAGACTATTAACTATGTACACTGAACTGGAGAAGTTCATTTTCTTTTATCTTAGAAATAACATACTGAGTTACAGAAATGGCATACTTTTAATATAAAAATATTTTATTAATGACAAACGTTCTCACTAGGGGAGTACGAAATTATCTTCAACTGTAACTATAGAAATTCTACAGCAAGCAGCATTTTAATATTATGTACACCTATGTACAATATTGATATGTACTATTATTCTAAAATTAAACTACTAATTTTACTGTTCACATTAACTGTTTCAATATTCTAATATAATTAATACTTCTACGAATAGGTACGGGGAATTCACTTGTAAAATCTCGAGGAAAGTTATATATAATTATAAGCTGTATGTGGCTTAACCTCGGCACAAGGTTTAGGAATAATGCTGTTCAATTATTCGTTTTTAAAAATATTTAAATGTTTGCAAACTTTAAACAACGACAAATGCTAAGTAATGACCAGTTTCAATTGTTTGTAACTGAAAAGGCAAAAATATATTAAACATTAAAAACTATAGGTTTTTAATATTTCAATATTGCAAAAGGGACTAATGCTACTAGTACTAACAATAACAGTTATAAAATTACCGATTTTTCTTGAACTAACGAACAGGTGCTTGTCACATTAAAGCTAGTCCGTACGTTGGTCTAAACAAGAAAATTACTTGGGAAGTTAGCAACAATGAAAACTACATGCATTACTGAAATGTCTAAATTTCACCTTTAAATGTAATGGATTTTAAACGGATATTAACTTCTTTTCAGGCACACTGTGCTACTAGTACTATATTAACAGTAAGAAACAAAATGACTTTTTCTGGCAAAATCAAAGTCTCTTATTATTAAAAACTGTTGTTTTTCACTCTTAATATGTTTCCAAGACTAGTGAACACTGGTTATGTTTTCACTACCATTTAAAATACAGACTTCAATTCTTTACGTAAATGTCAATCTAGTAATATGTTGAGATCTCTATAAGTACTGTTATAGTCTGATTTTATCGCTGGGACACTAATGTTTAATATTCATTACAACTATGTCTTATATTTTTGAAACTTTCAGAAGTTAACTTATTTATTATTAATTCATGCAAATTTAAAAGGTGGGGAGTTATTTTACTTGTGGGGTAAGGGGCTCACTTTGAAAAGGGTTTGATAAGTAGAAAAAAAAAAGAATATATTTATAAATAACAGTCACAAGTTTAAAACTGTTAAGAAGTTTATACATTTAAGATACTTTAATGAGTTCAAAATATTCTAACAATCTTTAAAACTATTTTACTCTTTCTATATATATGTTTGAACAGAATATTTTCCCATACAAACACATGGTTATTCAACGTACAGTGCTGGCAGCTTTTAAAATAAGCACATTTTAAGTATCTAAGAACTCAAGTAAATGATATATTTAAAAGACTAAAGAACCTTACATAGACAGTTTCAATATATATATAACTCAATATCAGTATCCTTGGTTTTCATACAGAGCTCATCTATTCTTGCCAAAACAACGCAGTATACCAGTTAAGTAAAAATAAAATAACAAACGTGACAGATAACTTATACCACAATTAAACAAGTACAGATCCTACACGTATTTTGTTGTTGCTTTTAAAATTTGCTAGTATATAAACATAAGTTACCTCATACATTTGGCCTATGTGAAGTAAATACTGAAAATATTAGCAATCACATGGTCATAAAAATAATTGTGGTTTAAATGCACTTACTTTACTTAGAGTTTCAAAAGAAAAAAATCAAAATATCCATTACAAAGTAATGAAATAAAGGAACAAAATTAAATAAAGCATGATATTCATGTTAATATTACTCCAATAAATCCACAAAAATTCATTATTTGGAACAATCTGTTACTATAAAGGTCGATAATAACTTTTCTATTTAACATTTTCTGTAGGTCCTGAACCTGTAGCAGGCTGTGCTGCTGAGTTAATATTGTCTTAAGTTGTTGTTTTTATCTGTATCTACATGATGTCAGTGGGAGCACGTATTCAAGATTGATAATAACTTTTCTATTTAACATGTTCCGTAGGTCCTGAACCTGTAGCAGGCTGTGCTGCTGAGTTAATACTGTCTTAAGTTGTTGTTTTTATCTGTATCTACATGATGTCAATGGGAGCACGTATTCAAGATTGATAATAACTTTTCTATTTAACATGTTCCGTAGGTCCTGAACCTGTAGCAGGCTGTGCTGCTGATTTTGTCAACAAGCTCATTAGGACTGTGGAAAAAGGAGGTACATGTGAAGATGTAGAGATGGGCTGAAGTACTTTTTGTATAAATATCATTGTTTTATTGATATTACAGTGGAAGTGAATGATAGCTAGTGTGTGTGTGTGGAATATGTGCTCCCACTGACATCATGTAGATACAGATAAAAACAACAACTTAAGACAGTATTAACTCAGCAGCACAGCCTGCTACAGGTTCAGGACCTACGGAAAATGTTAAATAGAAAAGTTATTATCGACCTTGAATATGTGCTCCCACTGACATCATGTAGATACAGATAAAAACAACAACTTAAGACAGTATTAACAAGTATATATAAACTTACAACTGTACATTTCAATAAATATATATATGATGAAAGTTTAAACACTTCCACTGTCCAAGATCATTCAGTAATTAATGGACTTAGATATGATCAAAGTTTAAACACTTCAACTGTTCTAGATCATTCAGTAATTAATAGATTTAGATATGATCAAAGTTTAAACACTTCAACTGTTCTAGATCATTCAGTGATTAATGGACTTAGATATGATCAAAGTTTAAACACTTCCACTGTTCTAGATCATTCAGTAATTGATGGACTTAGATATGACCAAAGTTTAAACGTTTCCACTGTTCTAGATCATTCAGTAATTAATAGATTTAGATATGATCAAAGTTTAAACATTTCCACTGTTCTAGATCATTCAGTAATTCATGGACTTAAGTTAAGGACCTTTATTGTTGTTTCTACCAAATGTGCAGTATCCTAGATGTCATGAAAACCGTTCTTAAGAGAAAATCAATGATCTCAAGCAAAAGTAGCCTCGTTTTGGGAAAAATTTTCACTAACAACAATTCAACAGTTTGGTAGTTTTATTGTATGTTTTGATAAGCAAGAGATAAAACTGAGCTTATGCAAACTTTTATATAAAGGATTTCTTCTTGTTCAAAGTTGTCACTAAAACATGGCAATTTCTGTATGATAAATTCATGATCTTAGGGTTAACAAAAATGTGTTCTCACCTTTATGAAGAATGTACAATTCCACCTTTGAAGTCAGAGAAGGTAATCCAGACTTGCTCTCAATTCTCTGCCTGATCATTTTCTTTACTTCAACAATCACATCCATCAGAGTCCCTGAAAATGTATTTGGAATTAACCTTTCTTAATTTGTTTCTACGAAAAAATTAAACGTAAAACAGTTTCAAAATATAGAAAATATTTAAAAAAAACTTGTATTTTATTTCACTTCACAGCTTAGTTAAAAGGTTATATTTTCACTTATGGAGTAGTTAAAGATTATTCGAAGTAATCCTACACATAAAGCAAAAGGAGGCAGAGTTAATTTTACTTGGACAGTATACTCACTTTTTACAGAATGTGTAACATTGAAAGTACTTGTAAGTCACAAATATTTCATTTTTAAATTTACATTTTCATAATGTCATTCAAACAAATAAACTTGAAGGTTTATCCAGTTCTGAAATGTATGTTAACAAAGTTTCCCAATCTTTGGCCATTCTTTGTGGACAATGTGTCAAGTCTTCGTTGCGTTGTTTTACATTTTAGCACTCAGAAATGCTCTGACATACGAAACAAGAGGTAAACAGAGCCAACTCCCGAACCTTACAGAATTCGTTCATGAGATTTTAGTCCTAACTTTAATTTACTGTTAATTACTATAGTTTTCAATGAATTCAACTTACAGCCAGTTTCACTTGTCATTTGTGAGGGTTTTACAATAACTGTTACAGGCTCGTGGCTTGAGTGTTAAAATAATATAGCTTTACTCCTGTGTGTAATCAAAACAATGTTTGTTAATATTACAAGTAGGAGTGAAAGAACGGAATCTTAACATTCAGCCATCTAGAAGTGTTTGTTAATATTACAAGTAGGAGTGAAA